TCCTGCTGGTAACTAGATTGTTCTTTCTGAAGTTGTAGGCTGTTTTGGCCATATCAGAAAATGAACTAATTTAATTTTTGCTTTCCAGCTAGAGCGCCATGAGAGTCAAATGTATGAGCAAGTCAGGGTATGGATAGCAGAAGAGTTGGGTTTATGTAGTTTGAATTATATCAAAAGTTAATTTTAAGTAGTAAGAGTTGTGTCAGGTAGACATGTTATATGCTTTTAGTCCTTCAGGATAACACTATTCCTCCCCTTCTCCCCCCTACGTTTTTCCATCCCTTCAGAAAAAAAAAAAAAGAAGGAAAGAAAACCTACAAACCAATTCATTCTAATCTGTGTAGAATTTCTGCACTAGCAGGATTAAACCAGTTTGGGATATTTAGGGCAAAGTGGCACATCCACGTGTGGCTATTACTGGTACCTCTTTCACAGGGATATTTGCATGGCCTGAGCCCGAACATTTTAAGTAAGACAAATGTGGTGTTACTTAAATTTAATAGGGGAAAAAAACCAAATCTGGTCTCTGAAGGTGGCTATTTCAGTTGGTTTGGGCAAATGAGAAGTTTCAGGATGCAGCTGCACTTCATCTTAGTTACAGGAATTGCAGATGAATGCAGTTTCTGGATCCTTCTGTTTCCAGTCTTAAAATACTCAAGGAGGGCCAAACTTCTGTCTTGATAGTTTGCTGTCCCAGTCAGGCTCTACAGCTCAAACAAAAGCCTGCTGTAAGGGCAGGGCTCTTGAATGCTGTGTTAGTTGGGGATAGAGAGGAAAGGTTAAGGTGGTCCAAAAAGTCCTAAACAGAATCTTGCTGCAGAAACAATAATGCAACAAATCTCATTATAGAGTCACATAAGCAAAATACTTTTCCCTGAACCTTCCTTACCCATGCAGCAACAGGTAACAGTGGATTGTTTGTTTGTTGGTTGGTTTATTTTGAAATATTAAATGTGTAGTCTTTCCTCCTTCATGTAAAAACTACTCTGAGAAAATATTTAAATGAAGTAAAGTCTTTGTAAAACCCTGAACATAACACATTTTAACTTCAGAGAAGCTGAAATAAGATTCCAGTTTTAGAAACAGAAAAGAGTTAATATGCTATAAGGAAGGAAGAGCACCTTAGATGCACTTCAATGTAGTAATAGATTTAAATATTTTTAAAATTAATTTATTAAGGTACATGGAGGGAATGCCCAACATTCCCTTCACATTTCCCCTTTCATCCTTTGAAAGATGCTTTCTACTTCAGTTTAACTTGGTTTTCCATGTATATAAAATGTTTTTTAACACTGTCATCTGAGTAACTTTCAACCTGAACTTGGAAGTGGAAAAAAAAAAAAAGCTTAACAGGTAATTAACTTCTACAAGTTTTGATTTTTTTAATTCCAATTATAAATATGTAAACCTATATTTGTATTTGTTGTGAATTCTTTCACAATATGGGATGTCCCCAAAACACAGATGCTCCTACCTTAATTCCACCTTTAGTCTTCTTAATACTTTTCTTTTTTGACAACTCTACTTCAGAAACAGTCTTTGGAGGGCAGGAAATTTCCGTGGACCTCCTGTTGGTAGCTTAAAGAGTCAGAAAGAAAGAAATGTTAGAAAATGGGTGCTAAAAGTTGAACTCTGACTTCCCAATAAAAGCAATGAGGGGTACCAAGCATCAGCACATTCACTCTTTTCCATATAATGCATCTTGAAGATTCTGTTTAGCCTTTAATTTTAATCTGCCTTGATCTTGACAAGACATAGGCTGTGGTCATACCTATCATACTAAACAACATTCTCTTCTGGAGCTTCTCTCAACTATATTTATTTTATACCTTGAAAAACAAGCTTTAAAAAAACAAATCTAAGACTTTATCACAAAAATCCTGATTCAATTAAAGAAAAGTGAGACATTGTTTCATGCTTTACTCCACAAACTTAGCAAGCACTCCTGAATACCTTAGACATGCTGCCAATAGCCAGTTACCCTAATTCAGTCCATTGGATTGCTCTACTAATCCAATTTCCAAGTTTTATATATACTGGATATGTGATTAAAAGGAATGAAAGCAAAGGAAATTAACTTCAGGAAGCAAGAGAACTTTTGCTAAAAAAAAAGCATAGTCAGCAGTACAAAGTTGACCTATTCATTAATCAGAAAACTTTATGTTTGAAAATCCTGGCTGAAAGCAGTCAGCAGAAAACGTGGAAATTAGTTATGACTTAGCAGACTGGAAAGAATTGGACAGTTTAGGTGAATGACAAATTCACAAAAAGCCCAAGTGCAGATACTCCTTGATCCAGCAGCAAATTACTCAGGTCAGTTTACAAGGTTCATCTTGCCTTCACCAGTATGACATGTCAGAAAGGAGGAGGTAGATACAAGATAAAAAAGCAGTCAAGTCCAACTGCTTATATTTCAGGGGTGAATTTGATTCAGATTGATACAGCAAACTTTCCTCTTCCAGTTTGACCCAGAATTGAAAACAGGAAGCAGTCTGGTTTTGGTTATGCTCCAGAGTATCCAGAGTTATTGACTGGCCTGTATTTAGAGACTTCTGCATGTCTACATTTAAGTAGTTACTGGAGTAATTTAGAAAGAAACAGCCCATATACCTGCCTATTATTACTGCACTAATTACTGTGGTACTAGAAATACTTTAAAAGGGAAACTCCCTTATAAAATTCAGTACAGTTTCAAGGTCATTACTGTACTGCTGAGGGAGCTGAAAGTTACAGTGTTCAGCTGCATATTGAAAGAACAAAGACACAGAAACAAAGGAAAATTATATAAACAATCTCAACTCTGTGTGGTTTCAAGGTTGTTTTCATCCTGTTGCTTCACAGCACTCCCCTGCATAATAAGTAATAAAGGTTTCATTTTGAACTCATTAATATTTTAAATTGCTTGATGCTGCTTTCAAAGCAGATCTTGTTAAAGGACATTGTATGCAGGGGTAAACTTTATTGCAAGGATATTTACAGTAAAGCAGAGTTTGGGTCTGTCACTTGCATTCACCTGGAGCACCACTGTGCTTCTCCCATGAGGCTGGTTACTGTTTCCTTAGGAGCACATTGCACGATAAATATGGAATAACTGTTTTATTACCTAGCCTACACCAAGTGGTAGTGTGGTCTCTACTGTTCCTAAAGCTGCTTGGGAAGGACACAGACTCGTGCTCAGTTTTGGGTTGCAGGCTCTGCCACTCTGTGACTGAAATAAATTCACTGAGGACAACTTGCTATGCTGCCTGTGGGGAAAATCTGTGATTTTACCCACTTCCCCACTGTGGTCCTGCATGGCAGACAACAGTCACCATGTCTCAGGAGTTCATTACATGGTGGGGCTGCACCACACGAGGCACAAACAGAGCTGTGTGCAGCTCCCAGGTCCTCAGGGACAGCTGGATTAGTCCATCTAGGTAACTGGCCTCTAGTCTGGTCCTGCTAGAGTAAATGTAACTCATGAGCCAGCAAGAGAAACAGGCTGAAGTCAAGGGTTGTAACAAGACTCTCAGCACTTGCAGGACATGTAACTCCCCCGCTCAACTAAGTACCAAGCTTTACTTCAGGTCTTGTGTGAATTTCCTAACCATGTGCTTTCCCATCTGTTTTCTGTGGGAGAGTTTGTGCATTCTCACTAACCACCTACAGTGGAATCAAAGTCCTTTGGCAGGAAGAAGCATGGAAACAACTAGTCTGCTAAATTGTTTCTTGGGGCTTGCAGCTCCTGCTGTCCCACAGGAACATGAGGTTGAAGATAATGACTCAACAGTGGTTTTGAATGCTGGTGACAACAAAACAGCATGCTTAGGCAGCTAAAGGAACACCAGAGCATCTAAGATTTTTCATTTAATGCCTTAATACTTTTCCATTCTTAGGCAGTATCAACTTTACATCTTTGCTCTAGCAAAATTCTATTTGAGCCCCCTGAAATCTGCCCATTTAAGAAGCATACAGTGAAGCCCTTGTCTGTGGAATATTATTCTGTAAGAACACACACTACTTGGTTTCCTCAGACTTGCTGAAGTGTGATAGCAGCTGCAAAATTTTCTCTTCTCCATTTATAGAAAGAACTTGAACTACAGAAACTGGTGGTTCCCAAAATCATTAATGAAAATCACCATCTTTTCTGAGTCAGCTAATCTCTCTGCAGCCTCAGTTCTCCTGCACACATCCCTAGACTCTTGCAAGACACTCTTATTTTATCCTCTATCCAGATGTTATTAGTGAGTATTTTGCATTGGTGACTATGAGAAATGCTGGAATGGATCCAATGAGCAGTTGTAAACATTTGACTGAGGTGGAACCAGTTCAATCTTTATTATTTAAAGAACTGAAAAGGCTCCAGCTGTGTTCCTCCATATGAATTTCATGTTCCAAGCTGGCCTTCTAAGATGCTTGTAGGTTGAGTCATGGGATTTTGTTTGTGCAATGTGCTGTTATACATGTTACTTTCTTAATAAGCTTACATGTGTTTTTACATCTCTGCTCCTGTATTTCACATTTATGTTGCACACAAAGAAATCACTAGGTGAATACAGCATTTAGAAGACAGGAGATGCCAGAATCAAAGCTACACACACAACCCTAATTTTACTCCTTTCTTGCTAAGGCATCTTAGGGTCCACCCCCCTCTTAAGAATCCATGCCTCATTCAGTGCATGAAATCAAAGATACTTAATTCACAAGCAGCTATTCACTATTTTGATTTATTTGTATTTCTCAGTGGGGTTCCAGAGCCTTACTATCCATATGCTATTTCAATCCCTGCCCTGAAAATAATTCTTTTTTCTAATAGTCCTTTTTACAATTCAAGTGCTTCATAAATATTTACGGAGCTGTTTTCACAGCACTTGTCAGAGGTAACAGGCTGTTATCAACCACACTGAGAGTTCCATAGATAAAGATCAAAAAAGAATATACCGTGGGAGACCCAGGGTGACATTTTTGGAACTGAATTTTCTGGATCACAGGTTCATGAGCATGTGTTCTGCCCAGTAATTCTGATTTCAGGCTTTCACTGTTCTTTCAATTTAGATTTCTTTATGTAGAAGTTATTAAAAACAACCCCTCTCCCAAATTGAGCAAAGTTGAATCACATTAACACCCACTGCACCAGCTTCTCTTGCCTATGTCAGCATGAGTTAAAAGCAGCAGTAAGTAGTCACATTTTCAGGGGTGACTCCAGAACAGTTTAAAGGCATCTGAACTGAGTTTCGTACAGTTCTGCCTTTCCTCCCAGCCTTTGGCCACACAATTCTGTCTCCTTTTTGTCAGCAATGCTGTTCATGAAACTGGATGATGAGGAGCAGAACTAGCCAAAACAAAACAAAAAAACCCCACAGTGACACTTTTCAGTTTCCTTCTTTGTTCCCACTAGTTATGTGACCATAAGTACTGAAGGAAAGCAGAGTCAGAAACATTGCTGTGCTAGACAACAAGGAGAAAGGGAGACTGACAGCCCTGCATTAAGAAAGGCTTAAGCTGCTGCAAGATCCTAATGTAAGGAAAAAAGCAGTGCAGGGGATAAGGAACATAATTTTGTCTCTAAGTTCCAAAGATTTTTGCTGACAACAAAGGAAATGAGACTGTAAAAGCCAAACTGTAACATATTCATAAATAAAGTGTATGACCTGAGATTTTTTTTTTTTTCCAAGTGCTTATAATTCTGCCAAATCTAGACACTTTAGGAAGGGACAAAACTATTTTTTGTACTGCTGTGATCCACTACTCACCACAAAGATAAATAAGACAAGACAGTTTTCCTAGCCCTGTTCACTAAGATGGTCAGGCCATGTATGTAGCCTTTGGGAAAGCTTCATTTCAAAGAGTTAAAGTTTGGGAGAATTAGAGGCAAATGAAAATAGAGAAATGCTAACTACAGTCACCCCTAATAGCTTATGTTATCTTTTACAGCTCTGGGGCTCATCCTGCTGTGCTTGACAACCTCCAGGCAATACTAGCCTGCATGGCTTGACTTGTGGACCTATGGCAATTCACCCCAGCTTAGGTTTTGTACAGAACTGCAGTCCATAAATAGGTAGCCAAATAATAAAAAATTATGCACTCAAAAGTTAAATAGAGCAAAATCACTTCCCCTCAAGTGCCACTTCTTTCCTCTCAACACATACAGGGACATGTGAATACTATTTAAGCAGATTGCCACAGCTAAAATGTGCATCAAGTCCAGCTGGCATAGATTTTTGAGCATCATGAAAATTCCAGTACTAGTTTTTCCAGTGTTGAACTGGCCTGGCTCTGCAAAGGTTACAAGTTTGTGAAGCCAAAAGCTTGAAGCAAAAATGGGATTAATTTAAATTTTTACTTCAGAATTTCTAGACCCATAGAATAGTATTGGGTGAGGGGGAGTTTACAATACAGTTCTGAGCTGCCTCTGGATCTTCACTAAGCTAAGTCTGGCAAGAGTCACCAGAGACCATAAGGACATAGACATAAGAAACTGTCACAGTCACTTCCCTGGTAGAAATTTGCCCTTCCTCTCCTACATGGTATCAGCTGCTGTATGCAGCTATGTACATGTCCATGTAAAAGCAAGTCTCACAGTTACAATAATGGAGTATTTAATATTTGTTATGAGCCTTCGTATCTCTTTAAGATTAGCACCCATTAGCACCCTGAATTGGATTGAATTTTCCCTATTACTCCTTATTAGGGAAATGGAGAGTCAGCAAGTAAAACTAAACCAATATCTATTCTGGAACAAATGCAACTTTTTTTGCTTTTCACAGACAACCATTGCACTGCTGCTGTGGCATTGTTGCATCTGCTGCCTGGGGACAAAGTCCTTCCTTTCTGGTCTTCTCTTTCTGTTTATCACATTTTATTGCCTTTGTATTTACACAACCTAGGACCGAGGTATTTTCATGTTGCCATGTTCTATTGTGTGTGCTTTTAAAAATACTCAAGTACGTCCTGGGTAACAAATAGCAATGAGTGAAGTTACAATATCTGTTTCTTAGCCTTTTATTTTTCCGAGAATGGTTCTCAATAAAATCTCCCCATAAATAAATGCTGATTCTGCATTGATCCTGCTAATGTGAAGACAGAGCACAGAGGAAAGTCTGAAAGAGGGTAGCTTCAAGAAGAGTAGAATTTCAGAGCCTCATTTTCAAGGCTTGGAATGGGACTCAGTGCCCCTGTTTATATTCTCAGCCAAATTTCAGACTCAAACTGTGAAACTCCTTGGTGAATCACACAGTTTATCTGTGCTTCAGTTTTCTTTCTAAAAAAAAAGGCAATTGGCAAGTACTGATAAGTGCTTTGACATTCTCATGGAAGGGGAACTCAGGAAATTAAAAGTGCAACTCTTTGCTGTGGTCAACTGGACAATGCCAAGAGGATGCCATTACACAGTATATGTCAATATACATCTATTGTTCACAGCAGTTAAAGTAACTATTTTTATGCCCCAGGACAAGCTGTAGGTAGTCAGGGACATCAGTTTCTTTGTACGGGGATACTCTAGGTCAATCATCCCCAGGTGCAAAGAATCTGAAGGAGATGCTATCATCTGCTTACCAGTGTCTGGACAAGACTGGGTTGCACTTTGCATCTCCTCAGAGAACAACTGGATTAACATTTTCAAATAAAAGTAATCTACCTAATTTGTGACAGGATATCAGAGGCTAATCCTTGTCACACAGTTATCCTGTGTTGTGTGCACTGAACTTCAATGCAAGGGACAAAGCAAGGGAGCCTCTCATGATTTTCTGTGAAAGAGCTGATAATATTCAATTTGCTGTATGAACAAGAATTAAAGCATTGTCATTTATATACTAGTGACTATTTTTTAAGGTTCTACTTATGTCAAAAGTTAAATTTAAACAAATCTGCAATTGCTCTCAAGTGACAAGAAATAAGTTCAAGACCAAGAAACACAAATACTGAGACTTTAACGCATAAACAGAAATGCAAAACTAGTTTTTAGCCTGAAGATGCAGTTTCATAATAGGTGAGAGCCATTCTAAAACTGTACTACCACTAACAGGGACAAACTAGCTCTGACCTACTGACCCTATATCCCCATTTTTCTGCAACTTCCTTGGCTTCAGCACTAGTGGTCACGTGGGGAACAACCTGATCAACTTCAAAATTTGTGCTAGTTCAAGAAGGTGATATGATGTATCATCTCCAGAGCTCCCTATATTTTTCTAACTCATGCACTGGAAAACTAATAAGTACATTTTTGCAGTCAGCTCATTGAGTTTTCAAGGTAAATCACAATTCATGCAGCTAATTGACGGCCAACAACAGTGCAAGAGGGGAACACAGCTGAAGGATGTTTGAGTAGCAGAGCAGAACCTCTTCAAAGGCATTGTGGTCTCAGCTTGCCTTAAGCCAAAAGTGAAACTGAAACTTGAAGTCTCAACTGTGTGTTAAGAACACTGTTAGCATGGTTTGGGGGAGAAAAGTACAGATGTCAAACCAGTATGGTAACTGGAAGATTATGATCTTCCTGGATAAGAAAGAACGAGTGTTGCGGAGCAGAGGAGAACAACAGGGACACTTGTGTGACCTTGTGATAGTGTGTATAGGAAGCAAAACTGTCAGGCTATTGGCTGTCCTAATCTTCCTGATGAGAAGTTTCTCATGTGTACACTTACTTTGTGTACTTGCAGTGACTAGCCTGGCTTGGGTTTTCAAGAATTAGCAATTTAAGACATATTGAGGAAGAGTATAGAAATGTACTTTGTAGACTAGACCTAGGAAGAGAAGTATGAATATTTTTTTGCTTCACCCTCATTTGTATGTTTGCAGTGACAGATATTTCACATTAATTTTTAACAGCTGGGCCTAGAAGGCTGACACTGAACATCAAATGCAAGTTTTCATTCTGATAAAAAAATTTAACAAGACCACATGGACAAAGCATTGGTATGTATTTAAAAGATGCTGTTCATGGCCTACCTGTTCCTGCTGGTCTGGTAATCTTTGGTGATGCTCTCTTTGGGGAGGATTCAGGATGTGGGGCAACAGGTTGTACTGGCCGGGTTTGTTTGGCTGCCAGCTTCTTCAGGCTTACTTGCCTCTTGTCAAACATCTCTTGTACATCTTCTAGCTTTTGTAGAATTCTTTGGGCATTGGCCTAGGCAAAGAAAAGGTTAAAAACAAATGGTTATCAGTGCTGAAGTAAGCAAGTTAAGAAAGGACTTCTGTTACCCAGACTGAGACTAGAGCTGAAGATCATAATGTGCTGCAGTTTAATGCAACCCAGCCCATGCACTCTGCACAGATCTCATTTTCACTGACTAGGACATAGTGACTATTACAGTCTTTCTGGCACTACCCTGAATAAAATTACATATGTGTTCCATGACTACTCAGCTGAGTAAAACATATCACGCCATGGCCTTGCCTGTGTGTCCTTTTGGTG